GTAAGAGGCTGAACAACATAAAAATGAACGGCTGGCAGGAAAGTTGACATTTTAAACCTTAATTAAAAATCGATACAGTATCGGGAAATGAAATATCGCGATATTTCAGTGTATCGATATTTTCTTACACTCCTATTGTTTACTGTAGAACCTTTTGAAAAGTACTTGTTTACAGTAGGACCTTTTGAAAAGTACTTGTTTACTGTAAAAATCTTTGTGACACAAATGTCTGCAGGCGGTGACAGTGTTTAACAGCATGATGAAAGAAATCATGGATCAAGTTGGTGGGCTTTCAAGTCAAAACACTGAAGTGTGTGATTTGCTGAGGAACCTTCTACAGGTATGAATAAAACTTATGCTGATAGAAGATTTTACACAAACACAATGTATTTAGTAGGCTGTTTATTTTCCGTCTTCTCTCTTGGATGATATTAAGACTTTGTTTTTGTTTTCAGGGCATGATGCAGGTAATCGATGCACTTTCTGCTTGTGTGCGTCATGTTGGCTCATTTGAAGAAGCCCCAGACTTGGATGCTATTCGCTCTTTACCCACTTGTATCCTGAGTGTCCTGAGGGAAACATTTCAACACTGCAAGGTTTGTTTGCTCCAGATAATGTGAAAGAAATTGTCATGCCAAAATTTTAAGTACTTTTTTCCACGCACTTTCAGCTTTACTGTGGATTAATTTCTTTGTTTTTCCTTGAGTTTTTAGAAGCTAAAGGAAAACGCTTCTTTGACTTCAGTTCACCAAAATGTTTAGTTCAACAAAGAGATGTAAAACCAGCTACAATTGGAGTGYTCATGTTTTGCTTTGTTGTCTGCAGGATAGTGAGGTGGTGTACTGTGGCCGTCTGTCCCTGGTGGCAGACCTGCTGCAAGGTCTCTTCAAGGAGGCCTATTCCCTTCACAAGGGTCTGTTGGAGCTCCTGGACAGAATTTCTTTGGACAGTAGTGCATCAGAGGAGGTCGTCTCTGATGTTGTTACAGGTATGCTGATCTTATGTCTGCATTTATCTTTTTGTCTTTCTGAGTTTGTTGCACAGAGACCAACTTGGTTTGAAACACCAAAGATTAAAGAGTTGGTCGGAGATTTCAGAAGGAAGAAAACGGGACGTTCTACACCAGTTCACTAGAGCAATGAGTCCCAAACTGTTTCTGCTGGGACCCCATTTATTTTACACACACACACACACACACACACACACACACAC